ATTACTTTTGTTCTTTTTACTTCCTTATGTCTAGAGGCTGTGGAGCATAGAGTTTAAGAGTTCAGTCTCTAACACCAGAATGCCTGGATTTGAATCTCAGCTTCACAATTGTATTGTCATGGATAGAAACGACAGGTATTGTCATATGTTATGATTATTGCAGAAGTTGAAGGTCGCCATCCAAAGACCACCAGGAATACGATCATTGTCCAAACATTAAGGTTTATTTAGCTCGCTGCTGCAAAGGAGAACACACAAAGAAGCCATAGATGTCTGAGTAAGAAGGAATTAGGATGGGATTATTGTAAAACTGGTCTTGTGAGTGTTTCTAGAAAGTTTGAAGGAAGTGGCTGGGGGTGGGGATTGGGGAAGAAGGCATTTTTGGCTGGGTCCTGTCAATGCAAGGGGGTCGTTCAGTGATTGGAAATCTACATCGTTTTTATCTGGAGGGTCAGACCTTTAAAGCAAGGTTAAAGCTATAAGTGGCAAAGAAGCTGGAGTCACTTGTGTTAGTTCTAAGAGAGGAGAGTCCAGTCACTTTTGTGGCTCTAGAGGGTCCTGGTCTTTGTCTTATTTAAAATATTGTCACACAATGAATTTGTCTGATGATCATTTATATTCTTTGAGCATTGTTTATTTCAGTTGGAATCATTACGGTCTATTTGTTTTCAGGGATGTTTTCTCATAGGTGTCTCAAAGTAGTATTCTCTCACTACTTAGGTATTATAATAAGGTATTATAATTATTAAACAAACACTATTTAAGACATGAGTAAAGAAGCATATCACATATATTTTGAGAGATATACACACGTATGTTATCTTGACAAACTTAGTCAATATAAGTGTGGGTTTTTTGCAATCCTATGTATTTTATTTTATGCAATTTAAAAACATTATTCTGAGAAAGAATTCATAGGCTTCACCCAACTGTTTAAGATGTCCAAGGGATCCAGAAGTTTAAGAACATGTGATACCCCAACCCTCTCATTTTATGGACCAAGTAACAGGCTTAAAGAAGACAAATGGCTTTCCTGAGATTATGCTGTACATCGGTGGCAGAGCAGGGATGAAGTTCGACTTCTTCTCTGTCCTAGGAGGCAGGAAAGAAAAGGGAAAAGAGTACAAAAGCCATGGACTTTGAAGACCGACAAACCAGCATTTGTTGGGATAATAACACTGTCTCAGCATGGGTCTCCTTGAAAATAAATCAAGTGACAAAGCTTCCTTAGCATTTTGCTGAGGGGTCCAACCCCAGGACAGTGAGAGTGAGGAGAAAAGGAACGTGAGACAGAGACGGAAGGAAAGCAAGTATAAGGTGGTTACTGAATTTACTACAAGAAAACGCAGACAATTATTCCATCAGGAGGATGCCCAACAGCAGCAAAGAATCGAAGTCACAGTAAGAGTGAAGACTAATGGAGGAGCACCAAGTCCTAAGTCTATGGCCTCGACCTGCCTTCATACTCCCATACAAGTTTGGTAAGAACACATTCTTCATGGATTAGCAAGAGATAAGTTAATGATGGTGGCAGCAGCATTCTCCATCAAGAGACACTTGAAACAGGAATTTTGGACAGGTGCATAAATTGGACTTAATATGAGTATCTATCTCATGCCATTGTTGTGAGGATTAGAAATAAAGCACTGAGCTCAGAAGCAAATTCTGTAATTGGAATATACGACATAATTGGCAATACACACCCATATACACCTCCTCTGGCGTTCTTTCCACTGTACCATAGAAACTTCCCTCAATGACCTTTCCTCAAGGAACTCAGAATGTGGCAGTCTCTTACTCAAAAGTCTCTTATTCCTTGGACTTGGCTGCACATTGGAATCAGCTGGAGAATTTCAAAAATAATGATGTCTGGCTCCCACCCCAGTGATTCTGGCTCAGTTGGCTAGGGGTTCAGCCTGGGCATCAGCTGATCTCATAGGAGGGTTTGTGCCATGATTACAAAAGCCTGGATGCCAAACTGAGAACCTGCATCCTCTTTACTGGGTCTTAATTTTATTCCTCAGTTCAACTCTCTACATTCCTTGGATTTGTTTTGCTTGAAAATTCTACTCTGATTGCCCCTTCTGTGTGATCTAGGCCAACAGTGCCCCGACATTCTTGCCATTCCCTTTCCCAAGAGACCCTGAGAGAGCAATTTCTGCCTCTACCAACTTTATGCAGGCAGTACATGCAACACCATTTTTTTTCCTCCATCTCAGCCATTCAGCTGTACATGTGAATGACACACCTGCTAATTGTGATGTTGTTCTAGGCATCGCAATGGCAGTAAGTCTAAACTAAACCTAAAGTATTGAGGGCCATTGCTAATTGAAGATCACTCAGGAATGAAAGTGACAAATCTCTAAAATTAGTCACCAGTAAAATATTTAAAGGAGACCTAGACTCACAGGATTTCAGACATTGGGAAGAGGGGGTGAATCACTTGGACTAATCCCTCTCCACCTTGCATGAGCTCTCTTCCACAACGTCCTTGCAGACATGGGGCCAAAGCATTTGATTTACACAAATTAGCTTAACTCCCAGCTTTTCAAAAACACAGCTATTGGAGAAAAGGAAGGCCATTTGAGGTCCTCATGAAGTTCACCAGTTTGTAGTGAGTTGGAGTACCATGAAGCTGCCTGTTGTAATGAGAAACACTCAAGACATTGCTATTGCACACACAAATGCAGAAGGAGATTGTTATTCAGGAGGTGTGTAAAGAGTTACCTTATTGCTATTCAAAAGGCACTTTCTCATTTGAAGAAGTCAAGGAAATCAATATGCTGTAGTGACTGAGGCATTCAGAAGCTCAAGGCACAATAGAGAATGAGCCCCTCCGTCCCCCCAACCCCACAGATCAAAATCAAAACTCCAGTCTTGCTTGTAAGAGTAAAGACTTGGAAAATACACAAGGCAGGAGCTTGGCCTTATTCCCCAGAGACATAAAAAGTTATGGTTATTTCAAAGGATAAGAGAAAGCATCAAAGTTTGGAAAATAAACATTTGAACATTTTTTTGAGAATAGTTATCTAAAATCAATGGAAGCTTTTGAGAATGGCCCATCATTTGATAGGATGTGTGCATGCACACACATGGATGCTATTAACAATGCCTGCTGCATCCAAGATCAGCAATACATAATTTCTTTTTACTCTTGACTTTGAAACAACATTCAAACCAGATGTGGAAGTATAAAAAGAGAGGTCTACTGGCATTACAGAGCTCCTAAAATAATCCATTTCCTTAGTTTGCTATTTGAACATAAGGAAGCATATGCAAAATTTATTACCTTTTATTTTTGTCATAAAATTGAAATAAAGCCTTTATGGAGTATTTACAATGCTCAGGTGACTATGCTAAGGCTTGTAATTGAAACGTCTTTGCTATTTTAATATTCAATTCAATTCAACCTGTGAATTCAGCCTTGTGCTGGGCACCTGGGTGACCAGCTGTCCCAATTTGCCTGGGACTGGCATGGTTTGGGCACTAAAAGTCCTGCATCCTGAGAAATCCCTCACTCTCAGGCAAACTGGGACAATTGGTCACTCTTTGGAGCACTGAGGAAATTGCCAAAGAAAGAAAAGTTCCCAACTTAAGGAGTTCACAAGTTAATTGGATCTAAAAACAAAGAAATCCACATTAAACTGACAGATACCACTTCAAGAAAGAATATGATTAATATAAGCTTAGTCTATGATTAACATGGAAAACAAGTACTATGGAAATGCTTATGAAAATAAGTGCTTCAGAGGTTTGTTTTGAAGGTCCTGAAGGTCTTGAAATTTTCAAATATTGGGTCAAATATTTATTGAGGGACAAGCATAGTACTGAGCAGGGTATAAAAATGTCAAACAAGGCATACATCTACCTAGAGAATTGGTTCTGGTCTCTGTACCACTCATCATACCATTATCATGAGTTAAAGCTTAACCTTTAAAGTTTCTGAATTTTGATTTTCATATTTATTTATTTGTTTCTTTAAAAGATTTTATTTATTTATTTGAGAGATAGAGAGAACATGAGAGCACACAAGCAGGGGAGGGGCAGAGGGAGAGGGAGAATCAGACTCCCTCCTGAGCGGGAAGAACCACATGGGGCTTGATCGCAGGACCCTGAGATCATGACCTGAGCCAAAGTCAGACATCTAACCAACTGAGCCATCTAGTGCCCCTTGGTTTTCATATTTATAAGATGGGTATTATAATAGTACCTTCCTTACTTATCTCATAAGAATGTTGGGAGAATCATATGAGATGAGCAGTGTATATAAAAACATTTTGAAAACTATGAAATGTAATATAAATACAAAAGGAGTAAGCAATGTTATTGTTATTATGCCGATGAGCAAAACAATAAACCCACAATACGATTTCAGTGGTCTACAACTGTATTGGCCAACATGGTAGCCACTAGTGGCTATTTGAATTTAAATTTAAATTTATTAAAGTTAAATAAAATTTTAAAAAGTCAGTTCCTCAGTCACCCTAGACACATTTCAAGTCCTTAATAACTATACATGGCTAGCAGTTACCATATTGGACAATGCAGAGATTATGTCCACTATCACAGCAAGTTCTACTGGACAGAGCTGGTCTAGAAATAAATGACTTAAATTTTGTATGTTGAATATGGTGATAATATGTCTTTGAGGTAGGGTCATTTCTATATAAAAGCAGGAAGGTAATGATGACCCCCTGCTGTATGGCCATAACTCAAGTTGTGGTAGTCATTACTGCTGTTCACCATTTATTTCAGTTTTCTTTCTTTTCTGGGCACATGTTAGCATTGCACTTCCTAGAGCCCTTACAGTTGATTAGGAACCATGACCAATTATTTTCAATAAGCTAAGAGCAAAAGTGAGGTCTGTCACTTCCCTGTTGAGCATTTAATTATTAATGGCAAATCAGCCAGAGCTCTCTCCTTGTTCTTCCAGTTACTAGAACAGTCCCAGATAATGGCTGCTGATCACCCTGGGTCCTGCAGGGAAATCGACCGCACAGATCAGAGTTGAATTGCTAGCTGACCTTTGATGGACATGTAGAAGGAGCAAGAAATGAACCTTGGTTTGTATCAGCCACTGAAATTTCAGGAGTGTTTGTTATTTTGACATAACCTAGCCTATCCTGACTGATACTTTAATCTTGAACTAAGAACAACAAAAGACCTTATAGGCTAGGTCTCTGATCCTAGTTATTCTCTAGCCCTGACCATTCACCAAGCATGCACACACACACACACACACACACTCAGACTCACATGCACATGTAGTAAAAACAGAACAAAACACAAAAGATACAGCAGAGCCCCACCTACCCACCAAGGCATGCAAACTGCTCTGCCTTACTTCCTTGCCAAGAGAAGATTTGAAGCCACATATAATGCATTTACCACAGCCAGGTTTTAGAAGCAGAGTATAATGCTCTTGTTTTCTTTTATGAAGCTCTGGATATTACAATTTCATGAGGACTGGAGTTGGTGTAACTGGAACCTGACTTTTCCAAGGTGGGTTCATACACTATTTACCAGACTGTACCTCTAGTCTTAGTCTCTCCATCTATAAAATGAAGGAAGCAAGCAGAGATGATTTCCCCTACTGAAAGGAAGTGTGGGATTTTCTAGGTTAATGACAAATACTTTTTGAAGAATGGAAAAAAATATATTGGCCCAAATTATTCATGTTCTGCTTCCTGATCCCAAAGCAAAGATTCCATTTGAAAGTGCCAGGCAGCAATTTAGCTTTTGAAACACATTGCATATTAGACTAAAGAGGTGCCATTGGGAAAATTTTGTGGAGAAACTGCAGAAATCTCATCTTTCTAGGCAAATATATTGAAGCATCCCCATGGACCCCGTATATAATACTATACCTGATGCTTTTATTGCTATTCATTGACATTGCTATTCATTAACATTGCTTAGCCCAGTGTCTACACACTGCTCCCACCTACTTCATCCTACCACCCGATTCTGTAAAACATAAAGCCTGTTTGCAAGATTATTTGCTGTCATAGCTACGAGTGTCTTCAAGAAAAAGGAAAGAAATATACATTAAATGCCTACTTTGAATGCTATGTGCCAAGCATTTTTGCTTCACATTAACTTTTTGACCTTTGTAAGAACTCTGAGAGGTAGCTAGCATGATCTCCATTTTTCGCATGTGGAAACCAAGGCATAGAGATGTTGCATAACATGTTTGTAGCAGACTCACCATTCACATGTACCCATTTACTTACAGGCCAGTGACTTCTTACCACAAGCACTTATCACCTTTTGCTTGGTTTTCTTTGGCTACAGAAGCAAGCTCAGCCCCCACACAGAGCAGAACAGAAAGGCTGGAGTGTTAATGCCACTGGAAGCAGTACTCAGTCCCCCATGGATAGATGTCAGTGGATAAATACCCACAGCTCCCTCTTCTGTTTGTGTGATAACACAGAGGCATGCTTCAGGTGTGGAGGTATCCCAGAATTCCCCAGGTGGAATGAGACACCCTTGTCCATAGTAGTAAGTTGCTTATTAACATATCTTGTATAGGCTTCCTTTCCTTTGCTGCTTCACTTCCCCACTCCCATTCTAGTGCTTCCTAGAATCATCTCTTAAGTTTAGTACTTGTCCTCAAAGCTTTTTCTCAGAGTCTCCTTTCAGAAAGAGCCCAATGTCAGACAATGTTCAAGTCCATATAATTAACAAATGCTGTAGCCAAGACTCAAATTTGTCTGACTCTATACATCAGGAGAGATCAATTTTTCAAATTTCTCTTGTCTCCATTCCAAACCATTGTGGTGGACACTGACAAGCCACAGAGATAAAAGAACATTAGAGCACCAATCTTGGTCTCCACCAATGACCCTGGCACTTGCCAGGGCTTTGACTTGATCCTTCCAAAGGCAGCAGCCCCACAGGGAATCTGCCCCCAGAAGAGTCTTCTTGGCCCTTGAGCATCTGGGAAAGCGATTACTGCAACAAAAAGACACCCTTCCTGAGAACTCAGAAAGAATTTGGAGGGAAAGTTTCTGGGAACTCATCTTTGAGAGCTCACAATGCAACCCAGGTGGCTGCATTTATAAACAGCTAGAGTAATTAGGGAGAAGAAATTCTATGCTGCTATTACCATTTTAATCATAGTTGTAGCATGGCCAGCTACCCCATCACCAGTGGCATCTCCACATGCCTACTCGAGTCATGGCCATGAACCCAATTACCTATTCTTGGAAACTCCCTGCAAGGATGCAGTTCCCTTACATACCAATCACAGAAAG